AGAAACACACTAAACAAGAATGGTGTTGATGGAAGAACACCACGGAGGAAACCACCGCTCTCCAAAAAAAACATTGCTGCATGTCTCAGGTTGGCAAAAGACCCCTGGATGTTCCACAACGCTTCTGGGACAATGTTCTGTGGACGGATGACCCAAAAGTTGAAGCACTGCATACCAACACCAAAACCTCATCCCAACAGTGAAGCATGGTGGAGGGAACATCATGGTTTGGGGCTGCTTTGCTGCCTCAGGGCCTGGACAGCTTGCTATCATAGAGGGAACAATGAATTCAAAATTGTATCACGAAATTGTACAGGAGAATGTCAGGGTTGTGGTCTGTCACCACTTAATAGAAGTTGGGTAATGCAACAAGACAATGACCCGAAACACAGGAGTAAATCGACAACAGAATGGCTTAAACAGAAGAAAACTTGTGTTCTGGAATGGCCAAGCCAGAGTCCAGACCTCAACCCACTTGAGATGCTGTGGCATGACCCGAAGAGAGCTGTTCACACAAGGTATCCCAGAAATATCAATGAACTGAAACCGTCTTGTAAGCAGGAATAGTCTCAAATTCCTCCTAACCGTTGTGCAAGTCTCATCAGCAGCTACAGGAAATGTTTGGTGGAGGTTATTGTTGCTAAATGAGGTTCAACCAGTTACAAAATACAAGGGTTCACATACTTTTTCCAGTCTGGACTGTGAATGTTTAAACGATGTGTTTATGGGTAATTAATGCAGAAATCCAGGTAATTCCAAAGGGTTTGCAAACTACTTGCAACTGTAGGTTAGAGCATAGGACTATACCTGAAGCAGTCTGGCTCATTTACTCATTCCCTTATTCCCAATGCCATAAACAATTAGATACACACAAACCTAGGTTTTCAGGCTCAAATTTAAGTCATTGCTCTTGTGGCTGGCCCAATCCATTTTTTTTTACAGCCATTCACAAAATGTGCTTAAAACACATGCACAGCTGTAGCGCAGACAAGCTCAGCAGCCTCAACCCCAAGCTCGACTCAGTGACCAGTTGGCGCAGTGCTTGTGCCCGTGAACCTGAAAGGCTGTTTTTGTGGATCACTTTACAATTCTCAGGGGTTCATATAACCTGATCATGAACTGATCTGACTCTAGCTGCTTAGTATTAGGCTGAGAAAGTGTGAAGGAACCTGTTGGGAATTTTAACATCTTCACTTCTGTTGCTACAGGTCACTGGATTTTTTTTATTCAGTTACTGCTTCTACTTCCCAGTTCCTAGCACTCCCCCCCAACCACTTTATACGGGTATCAGGATAACACAAAAGAACCCCAATGAAGACTATAGGTGCAGTGAATTCCCTGAATGAAGGGCCTGTAAGTTAATAGGATTTGCTCCTGATGGAGAATCTGAGGCATTTCCTGCAGCTGTTACAGACGGCCGCACAAAAATAAGCGTTCTTTCATTCAACGCTCTTAAGCCCCCCCACCATCACCCCAAAGGTTTGCGTTATCATCCCAAAGGTTGCAATTGTGTTTTTGTATTTTGCTTTCTTAGCGATTAACCTGTGGTAAGTGAAGGACTGGCCCTTTTGGGTGAAGGACAATTTTACTGAAGGATAGATTTGACTCCAGAAGCTCTTTCAGAAGGAAAGGCACAGGGGCTCACCTGGGTCAAGACCACCAACATTATTCTAACATGCCATGCTAAATATTTAATAATAATTGCTTACACTTATATAGCGCTTTTCTGGACACTCCACTCAAAGCGCTTTACAGGTAATGGGGACTCCCCTCCACCACCACCAGTGTGCAGCCCCACCTGGATGATGCAACGGCAGCCATAGTGCACCAGTACGCTCCCCACACATCAGCTATCAATGGGGAGGAGAGCAGAGTAATGTAGCCAGTTCATAGAGGGGGATTATTAGGAGGCCATGATTGGTAAGGGCCAATTGGAAATTTGGCCAGGACACCGGGGTTACACCCCTGCTCTTTTCGAGAAGCGTCCTGGGATTTTTAATGACCACAGAGAGTCAGGACCTCGGTTTTACGTCTCATCCGAAGGACGGCGCCTGTTTACAGTATAGTGTCCCCATCACTACACTGGGGCATTAGGACCCACATGGACTGCAGGGTGAGCGCCCCCTGCTGGCCCCACTAACACCTCTTCCATTTATCATCAGTTGCCTGGAACAAGAAGGTAGAATACATGCATGCATGCATCAGACGACACGCATACAGACAGAGGCCTCGGTGTCTCTGCTGCTTTGACCCTTTTGATTTGCTTAGTGTTGCAAATGAATGATGCGAAGCTGGTTTGTTCCTCTCTGTCTGTGTCCTCGCCCATAGCAAAGGAGCAGTTCATGATTTGGGCCAAAAACAAAACAAAAGTCTGAATTGTGCAGCAAAAAAATCTCTAAATTACAGAATGATTTTCCCAAAAAATATTTCGTACTCCTGTCATGGGTTTGTGATCTCGTCTAAATTACTGAAGAAATTCCTCAACTACATTCGCTGCTGCGTAAACACAAAGAAATACACTTTAGGAGTGGTGTACAGCACCTTCTGAAAGAAGAATGTTAGTCGCCACCCCCTGCACTCTGCGGGAGGGCTATAATAGCCAGGGGGAGTCCAGTCTCCAGCAGACACTGTCTCCTGGTCCTCTTCATCACAATACAGTAACTCCCACATTCATTCAGGGTTTCCACTCGCACCTTCCCTACACTCTCATTGCACTGTTCTCTCATAACATTGGAAACAAAATTGTTTTCAAAATTTCCACATTGAACAGGGAGACGGTCTTTGATTTTGCAGCCTTTGTAAGCACCACTATGTCATAAAAAGCTGCAGTGCCCAATATTCTGAAAGCTTGTTAAAGGTCCTTGACAATGTGAATTCTGATGAATAACTAGTAGTGTGGACAAAAATCCTGTTCAATTTGTGATGTGCAAAAAAAGCACTGCTCACAAGTACATATTTAGCAAAATAAACCCTGATCTTTCTCTGACCTTCAATTGGCCATTTTAACGTATACAATTTTAATGGATGGATATAGATCCTTTACAAAGGCTCCGAGAAGGGGATGGATTTTTGAAAATGAGCATTAACATTGGTTTTAACATGCAGTCTAGTAGTCTCCTCAGAACCATCATCCATCTCATTACAATCATCAATCAAAAATGGAAGCTTTAAAACTTTGCCTGTAAAGGTTTGACTTTAAGGGTGCTGTCTAAAGAAATGGTAAAGCTGGCAGGACTCTTGACCTTCAGTGGAAAAAAAAAAGGTTAATTATAGCCCGGCTGTTAGTTTTCTGAAAAGCTTTGTCATCAAAATATTTAAGGTTGTTTCGTGAGTTACCATGCAGCAGCTTGACCACAGCACGCATGTGTGCTCCCAGAATTTCAGAAGCAATGTGACGTGGACTTTGGTCAGTGGGGCGGAACAGGACAGACCTAAGTAAATGTACGAAATAAAGACTTATGTTTAATAAAGCTATATCATGTGGTTATGGACTGAAAAGAGGTGAACACACAGAAGGGAGGGAGAAGAATCTTTCTAGTGTGCAGCTTCTTCAGCTGGGAGTAAAGGAAGTGCCCCGTCTGGACTCCTTCATTTTAAACCGGACCCATCGCTGGGACGGCTTGCGTCAGAAAACGAGAAGCCCCAGCTCATGACCCTCCAGCTTCTGGAGCCGAGACCATTCCCTTCAGCGTCTCCCGACATCTCCACAACACCCCCAGCTTGAACACATAGCCCAAGTACAGGCAAGGGGCTTTCATTTAATTAACTTCACCAGCCCCCAACACGCACGGCTTCTCATTTGCACTCTCCAAAATCCCACCACTCACAAACGCAAAGAAACACGGCTTTTTCACATTTGGAAAAACACGCCTGCTGTGAGTGCTTTTTCTAACTGCGACACCCCGTTACAACTTCTTCAGTCACTTGACTCGAGCACAGAAAAGTCCTTAACAGAATCATTCATATACTTACTATGTAATATAATCATTGAATAATTCAGACAGAATTCTCAATCAGAAATGAGAAAATCCTACTTACTCTCCCTTTGGGTTCCTGTGACTTAAATTTTGCTAACTGTATTTTTTTTCTCCTTTATTTCTTAAAATAGTTTTTGTTGGGAAAACACCTGTGATTTCCAAAACATTCCTTCCATCTTATCATTTGGTCAGCAGGTTAACGAAGTTGAAAAGCTGATATGCGATAAGTCTACCAAAACAGCTGAGATCTGCCACAAATCTCACAAGCGCAAAGGCAACAAGCAATGCATCACTTTCCCTTAAGCAGTGTGCTGAGAAAAAGTCAGTTTATAAAGCTTTGTATATAGACCGAAGTAGGATATCCTACTGTATTAATGGTAATAAGTAAAAAATGCTAATGATGGCATAATAAATAAAACAGAATTTTAATTGTAGTACTCAGTTGTCAACTCTGAAACGTTTCAAGAGGTGTGAGTATTAGTAATTATCGTGTCTTAGTGATGTAAATGACCTTCTGTAGCGGACACATCCGAGAATTTATTAACCTACTGTTGACAGATCTTCATACTTATATATATCACACAGGAGGTCATATTAAATAATGGCATTTATTTACATTGCACACTATTATGTCACACATATATTTAACACATAGAAAAGCTTTAATGCAACAACAGGCTTACAATGCTCTCTTATTTTACCTGTTTTTAATCAAATCTGCTTTATAATTTACATCAGAAAGCAGTTTTATATATGGATTTTCAAAAATATTTTCTTTCATTTAAGACCCAACACACACTTGTCCATTTTCCTGCTGCAGTTTTAAGTCCTTTTTTTCCCCCCACATGTTCACAACAAATTTCACAAAAGGCAGTATCTATTTATACTCTTCTGCACAAAGTCTTTGGTCGCCTGCAGTTAGTCATTAATCATAATCTGTGGTAAGTCACCTTGGCTAAATCAAGCAGTGTTTTAATGGCGGGGAGATCTGATGTGAATTCAGTTACATCACCATCTGCCTCATCCTTACTGTCTTATTCATAATGCAGCCCTGATACCAATGTTTCCATACAGCAGTTCTGACGATGAGCCACTTTGAGGAAGGTCTCCTTGACTTTTTAGTGTCATTCCTTCTTCAGCTGAGATGCTAAGGTTCAACTTGCTCTGACAGTCTTCGAAACTCTGAATGCAGACCCACTGTTCCTTTTTATAATGAAGAAAAGCAAATATATATACAAATATATAAAGATATTTCCAAAATTACTGAGACATTCAGACTTTTAATGCATTCTGTGTGTGTATGCTATTTCTTAACCCTAACTTCATTATTACCATTCTCTTTACTTTTATTACGTCTAAAACATTTATTCAATGTAAATCTCAGGCACATAAAAAGGAATCTACTCCCTCCTCTCATGAATAAACACTGAGAAATGTGGGCAGAAAAAAGGCATACTCTTTTTTCTTTACATGAACAGAACACCAAGTCTAAGTAGAAGGACTCTGCTTACATCACTGCCACCCATGAAACCTTTCAGTCTTAATAGACAAAACATGACAACACCTTCGGTGTATAAGAGTGACCAACAAAAGAGGAGAATATTTGCCTCAATGTGCTTGTTCAATTTAAGTAAATCTTATTGATCCAGATGACTCCTGGTTAGTTAATTCTCAGCCCCACAGTTCTATTTTTCCTCCAATGCATCATGAGCACAAAACAGCGCTAAATGTCTCTTTGTGTTCTCATTTTAGGGAGAGAGGAGATGCAAACCATGTGCAATTACCACTGTGCTGCACTCGCCTGTCGAGACTATGCTGCAGTAGACCTGAGAGGTAAGAACAAGCAGACCCTTTAGAGTCACGCCTGGAGTGGAAGGGACAGAAGCAATTAACCACGCTGAAGATGTCATCTACAGATTACACATTTCTCAGTATTCAGTGTGAAACGCAGACATGACAAAGTCATTGCTAAAAAGGATAATGCAGAAATCCTGAGCTACCCACTCAGTTGGCTTCATCTCACAGTAGACGCCACACGCCTGCAACTTGTAGCTTAATTGCAACCCTGTGACAGTTTGCACTGAGGCCCACTCACTCCTCTGCACCCGTGCGCAGAGGAGACACAGCTCCTGCTGTAACTGCAGTAAACACGGGATACTCTACTTACAGACACCTTAAGAAACCTTGTGCCTTCGAAAGCCTAATTGTCTGCGACTCTCCGAGACTTCGAGAAGGGAGTAAACAAGCCTTTGCACTTTCAAATTGGCATTGCAGCAGTGGCAGGCAGGCCTCAATTAACCTTTACCTAAAAGCATGAAAGAGCTGCTTTAATGATAAAGCAGTGCTTCAGGTTCTCATACCACAGAAATCAAAGGCTCATCAGGTGTGCTGTGTTTAATCATTAATTAGCATGCTTATCGCTGTTCATCAACAATGAACAATCACTCGTTTCCTCTGTAATCACAAGCTACAAGAGCTAAAACAGCAGTATATTAATGCTTCGTGCAGAAAAAAAAATATATAAAAAAGCAGTTAACAATTCCCTTTCCTGCAAATAAAAATAAAAACAGACGTCCTGTTCCCTGTCACTTCCTAAGTCAGGCAGTACTTCAGATTCATGCAGTCTAGTGCTACCTGTAATATCTGCTTGCCTCCTCAGTACAGACAGAACAGTTGGTTTAACGACATTTGATCACATTAAATAACCTCGTAAACCGCCGAACAAGTTAAAGATTTCCTAGAGTATTAAAACTTCCGGACAGGATTCATTTCCCTTTGTGTTGTTTCATAAGCTATAAAGCTGACATCTCAGAAACCTATGCAGGATTCCAGATTCTTTCCTTTCCATTTTCCCCAGTTTTGATGAGTAATACATCATTAGCAATATGGCACACTGGTCATGAAATGGGTTTATGCTTCACATTTTCTTCTCCTAGCACGATGCCAGAAGAAAACTGTACGGCCAGAGATTCCATGATTTAAACTATTTAGCAAATGGAACTCAGTTGGATTGGTTTCTTTATTCAGAAAAAAAAAATCTCTGCAAAGTCAAAGATGAGGTCATGGAACACTGTGCTCCTTTGGGATAAGCTGGTGCCTAAAACTAGACATCAAACCTAGTTTAAATTTCCACACAAAATATGAGCTGGGAAAGTCCTTTGCATGTAAAAGACAGCGAGGTGATTTTATACAGAAAGACGTTCCAGCAGCTTCATGCACATGTGTTTTCAATAAAGCAGTCAGAGCTCACAGACAAAGTTGGGCCCCTTTACCCTTTAGTAATAGACTTTACACAGGAAGTAATGACCAACGAAAGCTTACAGAAAGAACCTGGAGACAGGGGTAATTACTGTGGAAGGACAGAAAACAATGTTTTCTTTCTCAATGCACAGCTCTTTACTTAACATCAAGTGGAGAACTAGGAGGTCTTCTGTCCAGTATGGGACATTCAAGTTCTACATTCCTAGCCATTTTCCATCAGAAAAAATGAGCTGTGGAGATCGTCTCAATTTAACCTTTGTCAGAGTGTGAAAGCATCAAAATACATTTCAAACACTCCTAAAACTCCACTTCTAAGTGGACACACTTATCTGGCTCGGATGTCAAACGTCAGTTGCCCAGGGTATTTGACAACTGAAATATCAGAGAGTCATTCCCAGCCCTCAGTCCCAGAGCAGCCCCTTGCTGGGGGTTATGAAGGGATCAGCTGACCTTCACTCTGACAGCTGCTTAATGGGGGAAATGGACAGGAGGAGTATTAAAAGTCCTTGCAATCTCTGGCAGTACTCAGTGCATGAGTTATTAATAAACACTCCTCTGCTTGTGATTTGCAGCATCAAAATGACAGCCTGTCGTTCTGCGATGGCTTACAAGCGTCTTATTTGCATTTGGATGTTACTTTTTTTTGCAGAATACAAGGTAAGGGCAGCTTTCAAGCAACAGAAAATAACTACCCTTAGTTTCACAACAACTGCAAGAATCTTACACACAATTTTTTTTTTTTTTAATTCTTTCCCTTGACTATAACATCCACACTAAAGGCATCCATCCCCATTCATTCCAATGCTGGGGCAACCTTTGAGAAAAGCATGCTAATGGAAGAACGGAGGCTTGGATCAGTTACAAAGAAAAAGCCCTCTAGTCTTGGAGAATATTTACACACTGTGGAAAGTATGACTGCACTCTTACCAGCCCGAGCTTTGATGCTAGGGCTCCAGACGAGCAAGCCCGTATTTGTTATTTTCCCATGATGTGGAAAAAGAGGTGATTTCTTGCAGGTGAGCCTTTATCTCGAGTGCAGCTCCAGGGCATGATACTGAGCCTTGGAAAAGTCCCCCATCACACACCATGGCAGAACGAGACACATCAAAGGCTCATCGGAGGGGTTTGAAGTTCATCCACCAACAGAATTTAAATGACGTCCAAATTCGGAGGGGGAAAAAAAACCAACACAAAAACTGAACTGATATGATAATAAATGTATAAAAGTTAATCTTTTGGGAATTCTATGCGCCCTCAGAACCTATAATCAGTAAATTCAAAAAAAGACTTTAAAAAGTGATGGGCTATACATAGTTTGCAAGAGAGGAAATGACAGTTTGTTGCACAATAGGTTTAAGACCAGCAGAGAAATTTTGTTGACCAATTAAATGATTTTGCTTGTTATGTTTGCACAATGAATTAGTCCTCAAAGAAAACGCTTTAATGTGTAGGAAGGACCAGCACATACCTGCGTTTACAGATTAGTTTGTTTTTTCAGAAAACTTCTAGTCTTTTGACCAGATCTAAAGCTTAAGATTACAAGGGCAATAGCACTTTTAAAAGTACCTCTTCACTTCCACTCCAGCACCACTCCGATAAGCTCATTCATTCTGTGGTCTCTTTGATGCCTGTTCAGACAGCTGTGCCATTCATTGCATTTAAAGATTCAGATTCTCCACTACTGACATCTAGGTTTAAGGCTTGTGACATGCCAAATCCTGCGTTAATCTCACAAACATCTGCTCCACGTTTCCTCTTACGCTCAAATTGACCAAGTGAAAAGCATAGTATGATCAACACAAAAATCGGAGACCATTAATAAAGTTTCCACAGTTCTCATAATAGGAGATTTTTTAAATTGACTACATACTTCCTGCCAATTATACACACCACACAAAAAGAACACATTCATCTCACTTGGGTTATAAGAATCTAAACAATGCAGGAAGGCATACACAAAGCAAAAAATAAATAAGCACCTGTACCGCTCCTACAAAATTCAAAACGCAACCAAATGATATGTTGTTCAAAGTTTGATTTTATGAATAAAATATACTAAATAATATGAATGGGCCAAGTACTAATGCAATTTTAGGTCATCTCTACACTAAACACTGGATACAAGTGCATCTGCTCTAAGGCTTTCCTGAACGCACCTTGCTGGCTATAAACATTGCAAATTTTTAGAGACCGGGCAATCAAAACACAAATGAATAGCAAAGATGCATTTTACCATCCATGCTGTAAAACATGTTGAGAGGGATGAGTCAATAACAGTTCAGAGAAGTCCTATTAAAGTGCTGAACACCTCTCTGTCCATCATACTGAAAGGGCTGATTAGAAACTCAGCTTTAGGGCCTGCTGTCCTACCGTCACAGCTGTAGGTTTCACAGACACCTGGGAACCCACCTTCGCTCCACTGAACCTCACGTCCTTGAGAACAGAACATTAGCTGCTTGTGCTTTCATCCCCACGGTTTCTCACTTTCAGCAGCAACAACAGACCTTTTATCCACACTTCATTGTGTGTCCATCACACTAAACCTGCAGAGATTTAATATGAGAGGGTCTTCCAATACACAAAAGTAGAAACAATGAAACGGGATAAAGAAGAGCACTCTAGTGGCCTTGTGAGCTGCTCAGCCAAGGCTCCCAGCCCAGGGCAGGTTGAGTTCTGTGACCACGGGTTCAAGCCTGGGTCACGTCACTAGCCGACTGTGACTGAGACTCCCCAAGCAGCAGAGTACAGTTGACTGAGCATCAAAGAAGGTAGGGTGGGGTTAATCAGCCAGGGCTCTAGGCTGTCGGTGATAGAGCGCCCCCTGTGGCCTCTTGAGCACCTGCAAATCAGCACTGACTCCCAGGTATGGGGCTGTGATACCTGGGTGCGTTTTAAGATGAGGGGCTCAAGGGTGGGTGGGACCAGAGGAGTCTTTCTCCACTACCTCATTCTCCCCTGTGTGCAGATACAGGGGTCATTTTTGCAAACCAATAAGTGAAAAATGCAGGGTGCTTAAAAACCTAGTGACTGAAATGTGGGAGTCTTAACAGCTGTAACAAAAATAATTGTCGATTCCAATTTAAAACAGAATAGACGAGCAAGTTGATGGGTGGGCCGGATGGGCTTGAAGGATATTGAGGAATCCATGAACCATGGGACCATGGGAACAATTTTGGCAATCGAACTTACATGCATTTTCTCTTTGGTGCCTGAAAAGCTGCCATAAAACCATGTTTTCCAACCACAACTCTAACTCCCAGTCCTGAGTACTAGTACAAACATTCAGGAGAGAAAAGGGCAAACCTGGGCGACTTTCACAGAATTCTGGGTGGAACCTCCAGCGTGGTATTCTACTTTGAACTTCTTTACAAGCTCCTCAAACCTGAAAAAAAAACAAACCCACATGAAAAGAGGTGCAAGATGCTGTCTTCTGTAAGAGAGGAAAGAAACAAATGTCCAAACGTCAATATTAGAAACAAGCAACTTCAGTGTTTGTAAACAGGAAACTCAAGACTACTTGCCCTTGTGCAAGGCAGTAACCAAGGTCATGTCTATAAATAAACCACACTTGAGTACTGTATGAGCAAATGCGTTTAGCCAGCTGAAGAGCAAAGCTGTGAAGCAACGCATCTGAAAATGGCTGAATTCTGGTTTTCTGCTTAGCCCTTATTACATTTGAGAGTTTATACTCAAAAACCAAACATGCAACACTTTCTGCAGCATGCAAATTGTTTTAACCACAGATGACTTCTGCTGCCTGCCACACATCATTTAGATAAAATGTGGAACTGGTAACCACACAGTAGGCTAAAAATCACCTACATACATACTCAGACCAAAAAAAAGCATGTATATATATACACTCCAAAACTAACCAAGAGTTTAAAAATATTACTGAATACATGTAAAAAAAACCTTACAAACAATACAAAAGCATAAGGCTTGATGCATTCGGAAAGGGGGGATGGGCCGTCTTGACTGTCTTTCCGGAACTTTTAACAGGTTACAGTAACACGACAGATCTTTTACCTCCCGTTAGTGGACGGTGCAATGCAGACACTAATCCTCACACCTGCACTGTCCTTCCTCCAGCCTCACCTACAAGCGGGGCAGTACAGATTAAGTCTCATCAGTGCCCATTCAACCCGGCCTGGCCAAAGCAGCAGCAGAGTTCACTAGGGCCAGAAACTCGCCGACTTAAATGAGCTGGTTGGATTATTTAAATTAATTAAAAGAGCAAGAAAAATTCAAATGTGTACCAAAACCTCACTGATTCTCTGGTAAAAAAAAAAAACTATGGAGAATCAATAAATGTTGCAGACAAAAACCTCACTGGCAGCTCACTGGCAACACCAGTGAAAATGTAACGTAGGTGTGCAATTTGCAGGAATGAGTCTTACAGATATCATAATCTGGGAATTCCAAATAGCTGAGAATCACACCTCCTGACACCGTAGGGACGTGGCCTTCATCTGAGGGAGAGGAATACCAACTTAGCCAAGATGAGGTCAGGAAGCATTATTTGTAAAGAATCCTAAAAAGCCGACGTCATCCCCTTATGAATCGGGAAATGAAAAAGCTTTTTATGTGCAGAAAAGAAACAATCTATGCGTTTTCAGTGTGCGGATATGTAGCCATGAGTTGAATCTTTTTTGTGCAGCTCGAGCTCTGCCTTGTTCATGACGTGTCGCACATGGTCAGCAGCAGAATGAGTGCGGAGGTTTGGGTCACAGTGCCCTCACCTGGAGCCTGGGTGCTGCACGACCGTGGGAACAGAGCGCCTACTTCCTCAGCAGCAACAATTGCTTACCATGGGCTTAACCACATTGCGTTCGCAGAAGAAACAGGCACACGCTCGTGCCTCGTGAACTCGCTTTCTCGATGCAGATAACATCTCCAAACCTTGGCCTACGACCTTCTTGCCTAGGAAACTGCTAGGCACTGTATGAGACTTCCCAACTTTGAGAGAGTCCACTTCCATACCTGAACTCCACCAAGTGGCAGGTTCAGACACAAAGGGGTTTTGGCTACATAAACATAAAAACAAAACTCTACATGCCATTTATTTTGTAAAAGCAAACAAACCAGAGTGCACTGGGAACTGGGAAGTGTAAAACTGGGAACTAAAGGGTGGTGAGAATATGGAACAAGCCAACCAGCCACTTTGCTGGACCTTCTTACAAGGATCGGCTGGATGAAATCCTAAGATCGATTGGCTTCAAACTACCAAGCAGGCCAGATGGGCCAAATTGCATCCTCACATTTGTAACCTTTCTTATGTAGCTCATGCAGCAATCATCCAGAGGTTCCCATTAGAATAAAAAAGAACTTTATTTGACACCATTAATGGTTAAAAGGAAGACATCTTGGAAGTGTCCCGAGTTGCAAAACTTAATTAAGGGGGTAACACTACGGAGACCAGATTGTGCAAATCCAAAATGGAATTAAGTCAGGACACCGGTTAACACCCCTCCTCTTCCATGATCTTAAGTGACCTAGTGGTCAGGACCTTGGTTTAGTATCTCATCTGAAGAAAAGAACATCCTACAGAATAGTGGCTCTGATCACCATACTGGCATGCTGTTTGGAAATTCTGGTGCAGACAGAAGAGAGCCATCTACCGCTCCACCAACACCATTAACAGCAACTGAGCTTTCCAGGGTGAATTCACCAGCCCCAACTCCTTTGCTGTGATCAGGTAACGAGAAGGCAACACAGCGCTCATACAGACGTGTTCTCATAAACAAGCCGAATGGTCATTTGAGGGGAAAAAAAGAAAACCACATTATGAGAGTTTGCATGCCTTTTTCACCTCCATTCATACATACATACAAGGACATTATTTCACTGGGACAACCTTCAGCTAGTTTAAACTGAAAGCCATTAGCACCCAAAATTAAACCTTTCTTTCAAAGATAAACTGGGAGTTTGGACTCATAATATGGTTTCATGCATGCAAGTCAGAAATCCACGTATGTTTTTATAAGCCCTTGATCTCTTGGTATTTCTTTTTGTCCTTATTGCCAGCTGCTGTGTCGATCCACCACTCTCAGCACCCGGAGTTCTGTGTATGAAGACCAGGTTAAATGTATAAACACCAAATGTTAACTTATGAAGGAAAAAAACTGCACTCAAAAATCTGTTAGATTCTTTGCTTTGAAATACTTCACCACAAATGTTACAGAGGTTGAAAAAATGCACTTAAATGTCAGTTTGACAAAAGCCAAAAGAACATTTCCCACATATGTTTGTAGTTAGGTATATTAAATCAAGATGAGAAAACGAAGTCATTTAAATCACAAGTTAAAACATCAGCCTTTTTTTTTTAAAGACCATGATTTAAAGGAGTCCCTCCAAGTTCTTAGGAATTATTTTTTATTAACCTCTAAGATGGTGCACACCATTGTTTTCGCAAACATTTAAGCCTCTTTTCTTCAGCCTTTACTGAAGAAAATGTCAATTTATGTTCAAGCTACATATGAAAAAGTAAAGAAGGCCACGTATGAACAATAATTCAGAAAACCCTTTGAAGCACAAAAACGGTCTTAATCAGATCCAGGATCTCCCCCCTAAACAAAGTATTTTTGTAAATAAAACTGGATACAATTAACCACAAACAAACAGCTCGCTCTATTGCTAGAGATGGTCTTTCATCATCGGGATGCTCTCCAATTAATTCAATTAATTAAAGGAAAACAGACTTTAAAACATCAGTAATGAAAATGATACCACTCACAAAAGCTTAGTAATTATAATAAACTAAGGTCTAAATCTTCAAAAATGTAAAAAAAGTTCTACTGCAAATGAGCGCTAGAGTAATGTTCCTAAAAGATGAATCACTGATATGAAAACAGAAGAGCCTGAGGGACCGACACAGCAAGGCCTTACTGTACTGTTACTTCTTGTGCTGCAAGCCCAGTAATGCCAGTTAGGCAACTGTTTTACTTGCGCTTTTAATTTAATTTTAATTTAATTAGAACTGCCATCTAGTTCTTGTACACCCAGCAGATTTGATTTTGTCAGCTGTCTTGATGCTTCAACGAGCCATGTACCCCCCTCCCCCCCCCAGGGAGGCTGAGGTGCTGACAGGCTCTGCTCCCCCCGAGTCCCTCACTGTGCGACATACCGGGGGCTCGGAGGAGACGCACCGCAGGTCCAGCAGGTTCCGAGCCCCGGGAAGACTCGGCCCCCGGCTCGAACCCTGCGACGCCTGAGAACTGACCCCAACCAGCTTTGGGCGCGAGCATTTTCACCACTTGGAGCTCTAGCCCTGCCTTTTCACTGGAATGGAAACAGTGCATTTTAAACCTGTGCAAAGCTAGCTCAATGAGTTAAAATGTGTTAAACTGGGTTTAGCGAGTTCTAACCACAAACTGCAGTTTGCTGCACATGCTGTATGTTTTAGGTGCTGCTGTGAAGTGTGTTCTAAGACCCATATACAGTAAGACAGAGGAAGCCCATAGGAAATTCTCTCCTCTATTTGGAGTTTCCCTGGCTTTCTTTCTACCGCCTCTCCTCCGCACAAAGGAATATCGTGCAGCCGTGAAGCATATATTTGAGGAAGCGCTCTTTTGCAACCCTACGAGATTAATCAGTAATGACTCTCGCGGATTTCCAATCCACAGAGCAATCGTGGACACCAGTCAAGATGAGGCTGAAAGATGGCACAGATGAACCCTTTCTATCTGCAAGTAGCAGCTTCCTAACTGGAGGGGTTGAGGGAGGAGAGCGAGCAAAGGCGACTGGCAAGAGGGGTGCCCAGACAGAAGACGGCATGGGCAATGCAGCCTACCGATGAAGGCAGGAGGCAAGAAGCAAGGCCAGGCAGGTGGACAGAGGGATGAATACTCATACACTAGGTGGCGTATTGGACAATCCACCTCTGCTGCTTAGATATACCAACAGCGATATAATATAACCACCACCTCATGCAACTTAAATATGCATCAACAGTGATGTAATAACAATGCCACATCGTGCCAATTAAAAAGAAAGTGCAAATCAGTCTGCTGAAGAGTAAGGAACATTACTTTTCACAGTGGATCATATTGGTAGCGAAATTAAAAACTAAATATTGGCAGTGCTGTCCTCTCTGGAGGCCTTTTACGATCTGTGTCCCCGAGGAACGGGTTTAATCCCGCTGCCGGTCCCTGGCGTACTTAAAAGAGGGACTTGTTAGCAGGCCCCCAGTCTGGGAGAGGGAACTGCCCTATTGTGAATGAAGCCCCTGCCCACAGGCAGCCGGGGTGATCTCTGTGGGCACCAAGAGAACTGCTCTTGTAGCTCACCGCCCCCACATTCCTCACTGGCACCTGCCACAGCAGTGCAGGACAAAACCACTTAAAAGAAAGAGTCACATCAGCAGACACAAGTCTTAGGGAT